TACGATCTTTATCTTTCCTCCGTCTTTCTTTGTATGTTACTCTCTAGTAACACCTCTAATTTTCGACACTTATTTGACCTTGTGTTGCAAAGTTCGTAATACTCAACTAAAACTGAAAAACGATAATATAACTCTTGTTGCTTTTACGTTTTTTGCTTCATTGTTGATGTTTTTTTCCTCCCACTTTTGTTTTTGCTTTTACCGTTGTATTTTTTGTTTGCAGTTTTGTTGTTCATTGTTAGCGCCTGTTTTTTCGAAGCTGGGTCCATAAAAAGTCGTCTAGTTCTAGCGAATCAAATCAGAGCAATAATACATTCGTTGACCAAATTGTCGAGAATCTCTATGGAACACTTCCTGAGTAGAGAGTATTAGTTTTTCGCGTGCATGTAGGCTTAACCCTATTAGATATAAGCAATGCTCTTAGCTTACACTGACTGATTTAGGGCAAATACAAATTCCCATACTAAAATTTGGTGACAATCTATTAATGCACATTGATTCCCCCACCCCACCCCTTTTTTCCCCCTCCGTTGCCGAGATCCCCAACGTCACGTGATATCTCAACGTTACTGAAATAAAATGAAATGACATAAAAACAGCATTTTTGTTTATCCCCGTGGAGACATTTTGGTTACAATGCCAAGTATGATACACATACGAGGTTATAAAAAAACCCAACTGTACAACCTTTTTTTCTAAATATCTCGAACAAATTTTGTACTGATATAACTCATTCAAAAGGAATTTGTTTGACATAAAATTCCCAAAGAATAAACTTATTTTCGAAAACGAAAATGGCTTTTTATAAAAACCACCTATAAATGCAAAATGCGCCACTTTTAAAGATCTTGTAAAGAAAGTCATGAAATGATCGGTTTGTTTTTTCCTTTCTTGTTTTAAAAAAAAATTCTAATCTTTCCATCCCTGTAACCTATAAACAATATTTCTTTTCTACTTCAGAGTTTGGTTTTTTTTTAAATTCTGGAATTTAGAAAACCAAGAGGATATGTCCTCCTTTGAACTCGACACATCTAAACACGTCGTTCGTAAAGTTCAGTGGTGACCAAACACAAGGATCCACTCAACCATGAGTACTCAAAGCTACTCACAATGTACACGTAGCAGTATGGAGCTGCTTCTAGAGACAATAGGAGGGGAGGGGTGAGGTTTACCCAAGTAGACAGCATTTGCGGAGTTGATATAACCTGAAAGGTGAAGTTGGGTTTTCCAAGGAACCAATACATGTCACAGAGGGAATGTTCATGCTTTTCAAACGATCCAGGAATCATGAACACGTTGCTATCCTCTGATAGCTTCGCGAACGGGAAAATGATACAACCGTAGATGAAGAAATGCCTTGAGAATGCAGACCGTTAAGACAGGAAAGTCATTGCTGCAGGCATCATCTACTGACAGACGTCTCATACGGCTCATCTATTGAATTCTGCGCCCTGTGACGTTCAAAGGGGTGCGAATGGTGTGTGTTTGGCCAGAAGTGGTCGTTTTGTCTAGGAATTTTTAGTTCTGATTCTCTACAGGTCCTAGCTAATGGACCATTTCCACCCGTGACAGCAAAGAAGTCCTTAAGGGCACTTTAACATTATTTCCGTACCTTGTGCGAAACTTACGAAATGAGCTGGTGGTGAGGAAATGTTCAATACAAAAAACTCTTATCGTTACTGACCTTAACCATGATCTTAGCAGGCAAAGAAAACTTAAGGAAAACCATCTGCAAACTTCTGTTGGCCTGTTAGACTGCTGTAGCTTGCAATAAAGGGCAATCGTTGTGATTTTTAGTGGTAGGCCTAATACAAAAAAAAAAAGAAATGCTTCACAAATGCCGACATAGCTGAAAATAGTTTGTTGTTTTTATGCCCTATATAGATCTAGAGGAAATCTTTTCAGTCGATTTATCTAAGATAATATCAGAAAAAATCCTTTTGACTTTAAAATGTTGAGTACAAATTTAAAACGCAAATCCTCAGTGTGTAGGGAAATATTTTTTTAAAAGTTGTACAGTTGTTGGTTTTTTAAATTTGATCACCCAGTACATTACATAACATGATTGCTACACATAATTATTAACATACTAAAACTACTCGACATTTTCACAAGGGCTAGGTTGCGTCGATAGTGCTGTAAAAATTTACTCAATCAATCAATCAACGTTACTAAAACGAAGGCAGTCCTGCTCGTCATCTTGTAGTGTCCTTCTTTTATGAGGAAGTTGCTGTATCTTGCTCAAAGACACACCCCACTGACAATCTAACTAAACGCCGTGTCATCAGCATTGTTTGACATTATCTGGGATTGGTGCGGGGGGACGGGGGTGGTTGGAATCTCGTGCCGAGTTCAGCCCCCCCCCCTTTCCCCCCTCTCTCTCTCCTCTCTCTCTCTCTCTCTCTCTCTCTCTCTCTCTCTCTCTCTCTCTCTCTCTCTCTCTCTCTCTCTCTTCTGTTTAGTACAATTCCACTTCTAGAACTTTCAACCTGTCAGACCGCAGACAACACGTGAGCACCCACTGAAGATCACGCGTAATTCAATGAAGGTTGCGTAAAACTAATTGTCATGACTGTCTGTTTTCGTCGAACACGTTAGTCGCTTACTGCACATCATGACTTTTTCTCATTTTTGCCGAAACTATTGCTTCAGGTATATATATATATTATTTGCTTTTCCCTTACCGAACGGTAGCTGAAACCAGGGGATGAGTACGTAGAAAGAGGCAAGCAATTTCTTATTATTACATTATAACACAGGTTTTGATTGCGGATTCAGGAAAAGATCGTTGATAGCTTCTAGACACGATTGTGACAGGAAGTGGATGTAAGGGGTTTTATTTAAAGGTAAAGAAAACAAAGAATCTTTAAAAAAAATAAGTAATCCCAGTCTATAGTCTCACAAGTAAAGCCGAAAAGATCAAACAGTATCAACAGGATATATTTCTTGAAAATTACATGATGTGTGTGATCCGCTCTCTATAAAGACCATCAGCAAGATACAAATACAGTTCATGGGATACTTAAACAGATATAGAGAAAAACCGAGCTGATCAAGAAGACAGGCATCAGGAAGGAAAATTGTACCATGATCGTTATAGTATCTGCTCCAGACCCGACACCCGAGGAAGAGGAAGAATAGACATAAATCTTTTTAAAGAGCCAGGGATTGACCAGTAGCAATCTATACATATTATAATCGAAACAGATGGGTGACAGGGTAAGACCAGCGTAATATAGTTTTTTAATGAACTTCCTGTCAAAACAAAGAAATGAATGGTGAACCATAGTCGCTGATGTCACTTCAAACCTGGCACTTCATGATGATGATGATATTTTGCTGAAAAGCAACTACGCTAAATCGGATCCACGTCGGAACCCCCCCCCCCCCCCCCCCAAAAAAAAAAAAAAAAAAGAAAGAAAGAAAGAAAGAAAGAAAGAAAGAAAGAAAGAAAGAAAGAAAGAAAGAAAATTTAAAAATTAAAAAATTAAAAAACTTTTAAACATTTTTTTATATTAAAAACAAAATAGTCCAAATAAATACAAAACAATAAATAAATAAATAAACAAATAGATTCTGATCCAAGCATTCACATACATAAAGCCTGTTCATTTTGCATGTGTCATGTGCCACACAATTAGCTATGACTAACCCAGAAAATAAGCATTACCAAATTTCTAACAGGTTTACCCTCCACGTACATGTATCATGTAGATAAGCCACTCCTACACAGTTGTCATAACATTTACACATAATTTAGTAGTGTGTTCCCTCTGTAGTCTCCGCCCTGACGTTGACACAACAGATGGCCAAGCGATGCGAATGTCGCGGAGTGCGACCAGGTGATAATTTCCGTATGTAAATTGTTCATTTCCGGAAGTCCGTCCGAATTGGCGTAGCGATACCAGATCCTAAGATCCACGAGAGTGGGAAAGAATAGTTCCACCCTTGGTAATGAGTGCGTCTAAATAAGCAAGGAAAGTTAAAAACATTCAGTCTTTGTTTGTTTGAGTTCTTCGTCCTTGGGGTTGGAGAGCAGAAGTTTTAAATTGGGTGATTAAAGAACAGAAATGCAGCACTGGGACGGACCACTTGTTCATTCTTGACTTTGTTTTAAATAATGGAAGTCTTTACTTTAGCCACGGACTCACAATGAGGCAGGGAAAAAGATTTAGTAGTGCCAGAACACTATACATCTAATTTTATTACAGCTATTACAGCCACGTGACTCGAAGTAGTAGTAGTAGTAGTAGTAGTAGTAGTAGTAGTAGTAGTAGTAGTAGTAGTAGTAGGAAAGGGGCTCACATGGTCGAGAGGTTATCTTGTTTGTCTCTCATCCAATAGATCCCAGGTTCGAATCCGGACAGCGACGGAACATTTTATTCTCTTAAATTGTCTCCTTTCAACGCATTTCTTGCTCTCTAATTATGTTATGTCGTCTGCTTTCGTCTCCACTTACTGCCCCCTCCTCTGGGGTCCTGACTCTTTCTGCAGCCTTTCTACTGCTACTTCTTGGCTCCTTCTCACTGCTGTCTTTCAGCCACACCCCTGATCCTATGGTAGGTAAGATCTAACACCTAGCCTTCTCGGATAAGGGCGAAAAATCACGGAGGTCCCGTGTGCAAGTTGTGCAGGTTATAGGTTCCTTAGTGGTTCAAAAATCGATAAGAGTAGAGTCGATTTTGGTCGCCACTTGGGCAAAATTCAAAATTTCTTACCAACCGAAAAATATTAAGTTTAGTGTGTCCCGTGAGCTCATACGACCTTATGCAGAACGCTCAATGGTCATTTTGAGAACGCTTTACGGTCACTTTTTTCTAGTCCTGTAATGTGCTATTGGAGACAACGTTGGAACGCAAATATACAAGGAGTTCAACGCCGAAACTAAGTAAATTAAACTTTACTCTTACCGGACAAAGGTGTTTTAAGACATGACAACGACGTTACTGTTTTTATAGCGCTGTAAACTCAATCTCGTTCTACGCTCTGTGTATTTTCAGTTTGGATCGTGTGCCGACGGTTTGGACAGCGTCTACGGAAAGGACTACATGATGAGCGCCTTGGCCGCTCGCGCCGCCCCTACACAGGCGTACACCAAAGATGCTGGCAATGTAAGTTTTAAAGTTTTAGTTTAGTAAGAGTTTTACGGCCCTTGCAACACAATAAAGTCGTATAAGTGCTGAAGATTAGAGGTGTTACAAGAGAGCAACAAACATAAAAAAGAAGGAAGGGAGATAAAGACGATAGATGTTTGATAGAAAAGAAGGAGCAAACAACACCAAAGCACTCGCCAACCACCCACTTTTAAAGTTTACGTAAACTAATAAATACGGCACTCCACGCAAACACCCATATATGAATACATGCACTTACTCTTATCTTTCTGCTCTTTTCTTTTGCTGATACCAGTGGGTCACCGGCGTCAGTAGTGTAGCGGTTAGGCGCTTCGCCAACGCACGCAGGAGGCCTGAGTTCGATTCTCGAGTGGGGGGAAATCTTAACGTGTATGGCGGTGTTTCTGCTGGGATGTACTTCTCACAACCCGGGATTGGCCCTGACAGGCAGATCAGAAGCCCGCCCCCTAAAATCTCTAAATTGTGTCGATGTAGGTTTAAAAGACACTTGCATTTAATTTTTAAGAGCCCGGTGGGTGTCGTGGAGAGAAACAATCGCCTCTCAGCCGCAAAAAGGAGGGACATGCCGTGGGCCCTCATAGTGTCTTTTGCAGAGTCGATACAGCGAGGTCGTGGTCTCCCATCGTTTCTCCAGCCAGAGTATCTCGTGTTGTAGGCTGGCAGTGTTATACATACACAAAATCAAGCACATTCACGAATTCACGACAATCTTTTCACCATGTTTTCAACAAAATTTGTTTATTTAATCGTCTTTAGTTTTACTAAGAGCTTTACGGCACTTGCAACACAATAAGGTCATATAAGTGCCGAAAATTAGAGGTGTTACAAGAGAGTAACATACACAAAAAAGGAGGAGGAGCGATCAGGACGATATATGTTTGATACGAAAGAAGGAGCAAACCACACCAGAGCACCCGCAACCACCCACTCTTCCCCCTGACTGTCCAGGTATTAAAGATTTTCCGCCCTTCTGTTTGGGCTAGTTTGTGATTAACTGAAACCAGGAATGGAAATAGATAATAAATCAATTAATTAATTATACTAAATTGATTTCAATGGGGGGGGAATTTTGATTACAATGGCAAATATACATACGCAAATAGATAAGCACACAGAAATACACACAAAGAATACCAAATACACAATATTACACCAATGGAAAACTATTTTACAATCACACCATTGCTGGTTGCCACTGTGCATCTAAACCTCGTGTCATCGACACTTGCTTGACATTATTTTAAAAAAGTCTAAATTCACCACTCACTCAGCCACTGAGGCAGCACTTATTGTGATGTCAGTCATACGCAGATTTAAGCTAACTGAAATCTCTTATCACATGTCTGCAATCCCTTCAGTACAACAAACTTGTACTGATCACGTCATGCCTCTCCGGATGTGACCTTTCAGGTACTCCAGTGTGACCCAGAGTTCTCCAATGCAGCTCGCTCGCTGAAGAGTTCCGATTTCATGGCACCACCACGACCTCTGAAGAAAGTGAGTATCTTTTAGAATAATAGCATTGATGCATGTTTGAAAATTTCGGCAAGCTTCCCGAGTAATAATTTCACTCGGCGAGCATGAAATATCACTCGGGGAGGGAGGCTGATTGCTCGCCGAAATGTATCCAGAGTAGCCCCGACCTGCTGGACTAAAAAAATTGGTCTTAATCGGCTTCATTACGCCTGTGTGTGTGAAAATCGCATTACTCTCTGTATTTTGATATGGAGGAGGAAAGATGTTGGTTCTACTGTATTTACTAGTAATTACTCGTTCTGGATATGCTAACACTCACCTAATTGTGAACGCTTTTTTCCTTCAAAACCTTGTATCGATTCTGAACATTTTTCATTCTTGAGATGGTTAAGCTGGCTACTTTGTCGCTTGTTTATCTTTGTAAATAGACAGCAATAGCAAAAACAGCAACAATTACTAGACAATAACAGCTTACTTTGAAAAAGAAAGTAGCTCATAATATATCGCGTAGACTTAACTTGCTGCATGGTGCATCTTTATAAGCATGGAACTATACCCGAATCGTTCTGCAGAGTATGGAATGACTATTATGCATATGGATGCGAGGTGCGAGAGCGTTTATCTTTGGGCCACCAATTCCAGACTCTGAAATAACGAGGTTAAGATGAGGACCCGTGGGAAATCTCCCATTCATATTTTAGTTAGAGGGGGTATTATGATGCTCTCTCTGAGACCTGTCAAGGCCTTCTCTATTCCATTATTAATGCTGTGCGAAGATCACTTACATATTGCTATGAGTACTCTTACTGTCAAAGAGATGGTGAGGTCGCACATGAGAAGATTTTCGTCAAGGCCGGTTTTATCATCATCATCATCATCATCATCATCATCATCATCATCATCATCATCATCATCGTCATCGTCATCATCATCATCATCATCATCATCATCATCTTCTATGTTGTTTGTTTGCAGTCACTTATTTTATATTGTTTATAACCTGATCAATACTTATTTTCCATAATACTGGTACTTAATTCGTTCCATAATTTGTTTAAAAAATGAGAACCCAATTAATCAATGTTCACACACACACACACACACACACACACACATATATATATATATATATATATATATATGTTAATTCATCCCGCTTTTCATTTATTCATCAGTTAAAATTTCTTTGGATATTATTGTTATGACTGTTTTAAAAGACCACCCAATTCATTAATCGACCAAACCAGTAAGAAATATTTAACTATTTTATATTTAAATTTGTTTGAATATCACTGTTCTAATTGTTTACATCACTAACCACCTTTTACGTCAATATCTTTGACCATTACCAATTTGCGAGTACAATAATATAGACAAAACGACACATCGCGAATTTGACATAGATCTAGATCTAGATCTTTAGCTGCGGCGGAAAAACCCAGGCCTGGACAAATACAACAATTTGCCGTGTTACCGCGCCCCTCCTTTTAAGTGGAATGAAATTGAAGTTATTTTGGGTCAACATCTAGATTTTGTTCAATCTTAAATGTGTAGGGTTTCATAATGGTGTTCTGAACAAGTGGGTGTGCCAGCTCAAAGAGGCAAGACAAAGATAGGCTACAAAATAATATTATGTGAACTGAAAGAAAGTCAGGGAGAAAAAAAGGTTAGCGTATAATTATATAGGCTGAAGCTAAAACTCTTAATAACAAAATCCTTATTTTCGGATTGTTTGAAATAAAAAAAGAGCGTTTTCTACGTCGTGATATGTGGGTTTTTCCGAATTGCCTTTAGGAGATAGACATTACGGTCAACATTATATCGGACAGAAAACTCGCTATAAAGGTCAGTCCGTGTTTGAGATCTAAATCCAATTATTCAGTAAATTATTTGAACGTTTCTGTTCTGTTATTAATACGTTAGTGTACATGGCGTTCTATAAACTATCCTGACCTACAATTTTCCCACAAATTATATTTTTTGCTGACACAGCAGATTCGTAAAAGATCCCCCCCCCCTTCCTCACCTTTTAAAAATCCTCCTTATTGTCCCCCACACACTCACACAAACAAACAAACAAACAAACACGCACACACACACACGCACACACACAAATACACACACACACATACACACATACACACCCATACGCCCGTTATCTCTCTCTCTCTCTCTCTCTCTCTCTCTCTCTCTCTCTCTCTCTCTCTCCCTCTTTCTGTCTCTCTCTGTCTCTCTCTCTTTCACACGCAGACACAGACAGACAGACACACAAACACACACACACACACACACACACACACACACACACACACACACACACACACACACACATAGCACAACACACACTCAAGTGCGCTTGGGATGCCCTTTTTTTTTTACTTTTCAGGAATCACCGTATGTGCGTTTTCAAATACTCCCATAACAATTTGATTAAATCATTTTAATGAAAAGAAATCGTCATCTACTGCACAATATCATCAAACATTTTGTAAGAATACTTTCCTTTGCGACAGCAGGAGCAATAGATTGTTATGTTTTTGTTACAGTTTTTTCTCCCGCTTACCTACTTCTTGTGTTCTCAAAACTGAAACTTTTTGAGGCTTCCTCACTTCCGTCTTTCAGATCAATTGAATTAATCATATTATGAGCTTATTACCTGGGGATATTTTATGGCTTGGTTTCAAGGAAGAAGACGTCCGGATTTAGAGGTTTGAATGGAATTATTAACAGGAAGACAAACTAAAATGTAGGGGTATGAGGATTTTTTTTTTTTTTTTTGGTTTCGGAAATACGTTTTTTTTCTCCTTAATCGGAGGGTGTGTTTGGATGGATGAGAGAGAGAGAGAGAGAGAGAGAGAGAGAGAGAGAGAGAGAGAGAGAGAGAGAGAGAGAGAGAGAGATAGGGGGAGAGGAGAGAATGGGTGGGTTGAGAAGGATGACCATAGATTTAAAAGACCCAGTTGGGCAGAACTAAGCTTTATATTTTCGCTTCCTCAGAATTACAAAGTTTTATCTGACATTCAGGTCAGAGTACAAATGTTCTTCCTTCTCTGTCAAAATCGTTAGATTATTTGGTGTCGTTTTATAATTGCATTCGAAAAAGCTAGACATATTATTGTGATACTCAAACTGTTTAACATCAGAATTCTGAAAACCAGGTACTGAGCAGATACAATCTTTTAATGCTGAGGTAGCGACTTGTCTGAGTGTCATGAAACGCTATTAGCAGAGTTTGTATCGCAATGGATTACGGTGCTGGTTACCCCAATTTGAATCCCTGAAATGGGGCTCTCGTGGCCTAGAGGTTAAGGTGTTCGCCTCTCGTTCAATAGGTCCTACCCGGGTTCGAATCCGGTTAGCGACGGAAAACATTTTTTTTCTAAGATTTTCTAGTTTCACATCCTTTCCTGCTTTCTAATAATGTTCTATCGTCTACTTTCGTCTCCACTTTCTGCCCCCACCGCCTCACCTCCTTTGCCCCCTCCTCTGGGCTCCTGACTCTTTTTACATCCTTCTACTGCTACCCCTTGGCTCCTTCTTACTGCTGTCTTTCAGCCACACCCCTGATCTTACGGTAGGAAAGATCTACACCTAGCCTTCTCGCACAAAGGCGAAAAATCTCGGAGGTCTCTTATGCAAGTGGCGCGCGTTAAAGATCCTTTGGTAGTCCAAAATCGACAAGAGTAGGCTGCGGCCGCCATTCGGGAAAAATTCAAAATTTCTTACCAACTGAAAATGTTTAATGTGTCCCTCGCGCTCATAATATAACCTTATGCAGTTGCGAGCTCCGTAAAACACTTGCACCCCCCACCAAAAAAACAACAACAACAACCCTGATAGGTTGTCTGGAGCGTAAATTATTGTATGTGGATTTTCCATGGCTTTCCACCCCTCTTGACGTGGTCCAGTAGGACGTTGAATTCACAGGTGCGTCTTCTCTAGTAGCGTTATACTGTTAAACAGAGCGTTGGACCGATCTTGCTATACTTTTACTTTTACTTTTTCCATCCTCTGTTGCCGTTAAGCGTCGAGGGGAGTTGCAGTTTTCCATGGTAAGCCAACTCCGCAGCTCTTTCAGTTGTGATATTATGTTTTCTCAGGGTTTCTTTGAAATCCTCGATCCACCTTTTGTGTGGCCTTCCTCTTCCTTTATTGCCTGAGTGCTTGGTGTTGTAGGCTCTCGAGGCTGGTTGGTCAGGTGACATGCGTAACAGGTGGCCAAACCATTTTATTCTCTGTCTTTCTATGTAATGCAGGCAGGACTCAATGCCGATACTATCGGATAAAACAAGCAACTAACGAAGGAGGTAATTCTAATATACAATACGTACAAGAAAATAGAAACAGTCAAAGGAAAAGAAAATTTCAATGCCTAGCAGGAGAACCTCAATTTAGATGGAATTGCAGAAAAAGAGGACACAGCATGAAAAATTAGGTCAGTGGAAGGATAGACAGACAGACATGCATGCAGGCAGACAGACAGACAGACAGACAGACAGACAGACAGACAGACAGACAGACAGACAGACAGACAGACAGACAGACAGACAGACAAGCGGACGGACATACGGACGAACGGACGGACGGACGGACAGATAGATAGATAGATAGATAGATAGATAGATAGATAGATAGATAGATAGATAGATAGATAGATAGATAGATAGATAGATAGATAAATAGATAGATAGATATATAGTTGGAGGGGTAGATACCCTGTCGCTGTCCCTACTTTATGTAACCTTTCAAAGTGTAGAATTTATAGTTGAACTAAAAATTATATTTTTCATCGTAGAAATCGAGGTTATAAAGTGGAGAATTCTAGGACAAAGACATTAACTCTCAATGCTTTTGCTCTCATCTAGCCTGTCGCCTCTATCTCCTTTTTCATTTATTCCGTTCAAGGTCAGTTCCTTATTTCTTATCCCGTGTTATAGCGGCTGACAGTGGAAATAGATTATTTATATAAAAATAAGATCGTTATCTAGACAAAGCTTACGACTCAATGCAGTAATACACGTTGAATGTGTTGGAGCTTAAAACCCCACCTCAGTGTCCGCTTGGCATGAGATGATGGACATTTCTTTTACCCACTTGAGTCGGATTAAAACCGAAAGAGCTCAGTTTATTTATGTTTTCGTTTTGGCTTTCTGTCTCATGTGCGGGTGAATATTCCATTGCTCTGGCGATCGTGTCAATGTTGTTGTTCCAAAGAATTTAAACGGAAGGGAAAAATATCTTCAAGCATGTCTAATAACGGCGACTGTATGTGTTTGAGTTTAGCTTTGCCTATTACTGGTCTCAAAATGAGCAATGCTAATGTCGTACGACTCCAAACAATTCCCGCAAGTTGGACCTCGTTTGGAGAAAAAAACTGTTCAGATGAAGATCATATTAATGATTTAGCCAACTAGGTTATGGATAATATACTGGGGAACAGCTTTAGAGGCATTTATCAATGGCAATGTCCTTCTGCAAAATGCCTCCGACATAGGCATAATGGGCATCTTCCTTTGAATATCCGTTTAAAGCTGATGGACCTTTGTCCTCACACGAAAGCGTATTGCATAAAGTCGTAATATGCGCGATATCACGAAACCTTCATATTATGCAAACCCAAAGGCTACCAATCTCAGGGAGGCAGGAAGGGGATACCCTAGTCATCCAGACTAAACGCACAACGACCATAGTCGCAGTTGCTTCTGCTCCTTAACCGCATACAGAGCGGTGTTTTTGATAGATATGACGTCGATGTGCTAGCGACATTTTTCAAAATAAGGTGTTGTTCTTCTCTTCTCCCATCACTGCATGAGCGTGTTCTACTTCAAGTGAAAATTGAAAGCAAACTAAGCAGGGGAAGTGAAAATGGTGAAATAGTATGGATTTAATGTCCGTATCAAGCAGGGGTAGAACTAGAGCAACTTATTTGGAAAGCCTGGGCAGATGGGCTACGAGAAAGATCAGGACGATATAGGATCTATGAGAGCATCCATGCAAAGAAGTGAAAGGCAGGCGAACTATGATCGCCAATTTCTATTGCAGGTCTGGTGATGCTATAGTGACTTACACATGAAAAGTCCCCAACACATAACCACAAGTTTACGCCTTTTGCATCGAAAAACGAAGTGTACTGGATCCGTTACTTACTTTCGTCCTCCATTCGTATATATTTCGATTTCTGTGGTATGATTTTTGAGAGAAGACTAAGACCACCCTCTCTTTTTCCAGATGATCGAGAATAATGCTGGGAAAAAGTATTTGGACCACATCAGCATATCTATGGATCCCAACCGCCACGCTGCAGATAGACAAAAGTCATGTGAGTAGTCACACACATCTATCAGGGTGAGCCTGACTTGTAAGTTTTAAGTTGTACACCATATAATACTTAAACTTAAAATTTTGCATCCAGTTCAGAAAGGTTATAAAACTGTTGTCGTACCCGATCTCCACAAAGTAAGAACTGTACTATTAAAGGTTGGTTCGCAAAGGGAATAAACTGTCCTCGATTTCCGATTGAGCTCCATTTGGTAAAGTACATTGCTCTATGTTCCTCAATTTACCAAGGAAACTTGGCACTCGCAAGAGACGGAATATATCACTGAAAGCTGTATGCCCATTGTATGGACATTTGATCCTTTCCCTGGAGATCGAGACAGTATCGCAGAGAAACATCAAGTGTAAACTTCCCTTCGGAGTGGTTCAGTACTATGAAATATCAAATTAACCTCTTGATTTATTTTTCTTATTCACCGAGAGCTGTTCACGGGAGTGATTTTCGAGTTCCCCAACCTACTCTTGGACTGGTCAGCCAGTGCAGAGTGACAATTATGAAAACTGTTGCTCTACTTTCATGAATTGCTTACCCCAAAAAATCAATTTGTTTTTAGCGAATGCAAATTTGACATAGTTTCTTCTTGGGATAATAATAATAATAATAATAATAATAATAATAATAATAATAATAATAATAATAATAATAACACTACTACTACTTCTACTACTACTACTACTACTACTACTACTACTACTACTACTACTACTACTACTACTACTACTACTACTACTACTACCACTACTACCACTACTACCACTACTACTACTACTACTACTACTGCTACTACTGCTACTACTACTACTACTACTACTACTACTACTACTACTACTACTACTACTACTACTACTACTACTACTACAACTACTACTACTACTGCTACTACTATACTACTACTACTACTACTACTACTACTACTACTACTACTACTACTACTACTACTACTACTACTACTACTACTGCTACTACTGCTACTACTACTATTACTAGTAATAATAATATAATAATAATAATAATAATAATAATAATAATAATAATAATAATGATAATAATAATAACAATAATAACACTACTACTACTACTACTACTACTACTACTACTACTACTACTACTACTACTACTACTACTACTACTACTACTACTACTACTACTGCTACTACTACTACTACTACTACTACTACTACGATCACTACTACTACTACTACTACTACTACTACTACTACTACTACTACTATTACTACTACTACTACTACTACTACTACTACTACTACTACTACTACTACTACTACTACTACTACTACTACTACTGCTAGTAATAATAATAATAATAATAATAATAATAATAATAATAATAATAATAATAATAATAATAATAATAATAAACGAGAAGATGTAATTTAAATTCGGGAAAACAAATATTTGAAAAAAAAAGAAAAAAAGCAAACAATCCAACACGTGACCAAAAATTGCACATTATTTTTAAAAATTCATTTTTGAATTACTTCTAAATGTGGTTAATCACTTGAAACTTTGAGGGAAACAGATGTAGACTTTAAAAAATTTGAAAATTTCACCCGCAGAAGGCCTTAACTAATCACCAGCCTCATCCTTGTTTTATAGAGTTCTTGTTGTACCTGTAATAGCACTATCAGCCTCCATGGTTTAATTTGCCTAGACTGCGATTCCAATCTCTCAGCTATATTTCACAATTTTGAAATAGCAGTTTCAATTACCACAAAAAGGGAGTAGGGTGGGGGAGGGGGTTCAACCGGTCTCACTTTCTCCCAACGTTCTTCTGTAGACGTTATTTATATGAAAGTGTTGCGTTGGCATGATGGTGCAAGATCTATTTATTGGCACCTTTGATAAAATTTTAGCCTCTCCGTTTTTCAAAATCAGGATAGGAACTAAAGGTTAAACACTTTTTCCTCCCCGTTTTTTTTGTTGCATTTAAGCACTAGTTTTTCTACTTTATGGATCGTAGCTTTCATTGCCTTGGACGAAGACAAGGTATTCTGAAAAGAAACTGCGATTCCTATTACAGAACAACAAAAAATGTCAGTTCACTCCTGACTTAGTTCGCAATTATAAAGTTTGAATGACGTGCGCTTATCTTCAGAATCTGTGAGACGCTAGACCACCACGATCTGGGCTTTATTTTCTACACTTTTTTGCTTTCCCTACCGCCTTTGTCACTCAGATGTGATGCTAGTTTCTCTGTGAACTAAGAACACAGGCTCAGGATAGACGTTTTGAGCTAAACACAAGAGACATCATGTCAAGGTGATACCATTCTTGGATACATCCGCCAGCACAATTAATGTCAAATCTTTCCTCTGGATCATTAAACAGTTTTAATTACCCTTTTCTCCTTGCTAGTTATGTCTTTGCTATAGATTTCCACGCTGTACGAGACAGTTGAAGAAGACACAAGTTTATTCACTAATGCTAATACATATTGTCTCAATAATGATAGTTCCTTATTTCAGGTTTTGTTTTCCCTTGCAGGTTATCTGCTGTTATAGCATTCTCTCTTTCATGCTTTTATCCACTTTTCTATCTTCATTTCTCGTGTTCTTTATTTTATTTCCAAACCTATTCCTGCTCATCAATCCCATTGAGAGTTTGGCAGTTTGGGAGGGTTTCTCGTTTTTCGTGAAATGGTGTTTTATTGATAATATCTACCCCCTTCACTCAGCCTCATGCATCTTTTCTCTTCTTCCTCTAGCTCCTCTACCTCTTTGTCTTCCCTTCCCTTTCTTCTTTTAAAACAAATGTAAATCTATTAACGTCCTCATCGACGCAATTAAGATCATTTAAGAAGTGAGCTTCCGTCTCTGCCTTTTTAAAGCCAACCCGGGCTGAGAGGGATACAACAACTCGGCAGAAAGACCGAGATACTCGATAAAAAAATTCTCCCCACTCAAGAATGGACATCCGATCGTCTGAGTGCGACAGCAAAGCACCTAACCGCCACACCACAGACGCTGGTCCCCTTCCTCTTTCTTCTTTCTGATTAGATGGCCATGAAGAACAGCTGTTTGCTTTCCAAACTTCATTTTCGTGGCGTATTAGCGGCGTCGTTAGCCCTGTGGTAAGGCTACCGGGCCCGTTATCATGAGATTGCGGGTTCAGGGGGTTCGAGCCACAGCTCGGTCCGAAGCCCGGTGTATCATTGGGAAAGGCACTTAACAGGAATGTCGCCTTTGGCTCAGTCCTTTGGGAGTTTGACGTAAATCACGGAGGCCTCGCCCCTTAAATAACCTAATAGTGTTGATAGGGGCATTAAACCTATACCGTATCACCATTTTCCAGTGGCGCACTCGGACTACAACAAGCATCCCAACAACTTTAACCCCCTCCCGCCGTTCATGGCAAAGAGCGCACCCTACAACTATCTCCATACAGACCCAGCCTTGCCTTATCCAGGACTCGACAAGAACAGCGAGGCTTCGGTGAGCTGGGAATGGTTTTCCCGAGTTTTAGAATGTTGAGTTTGAGCTAAGAGAAGCGCTTGGACTCAATAACTATCATTTTGTACAGGGAAAAAGCAAGATGGGCCAACTGAAACAACAGAGGGAAAGAATAGACGTTGGACCTATCAGTAGCGCCCTCTCCACCCCTAATAACCAACCAGCTGAGCTTCTGATTATCAAATTAGACGTTGACACATGTTTTTTAAAATTAAGTGTATATGTATGTATGTGTGTGTGTGTGTGTGTGTGTGTGTGTGTGTGTGTGTATGTATGTATGTGTGTGTGTGTGTGTGTG